TTTGACGAGGGAAATTGCCACCATATTTACATTTTGAAAAGTGTTTCCTTATTTACACACTATTGACTTCCTATTGAGACTCAAAATTTTAACTACAACTGGTAAAGAATTCAATGGATCAAATTCAGTAAATCTGAAGTCACTGGAATAAAGGCACCTCAGAAAAAAAATGTGTCAATTTTAAAGGTCTTTCCTAACTGAAGCCCATTTTGTGATAGAGCCAAAGGTTAATAAAATCAGTAGTGAATGTAGCAATTTTACAGATAAGCTATTCACAACAAGTGTAGTTACTTGAATAAAAAGCTAATTCAGTTCTAAAATACCACATGCAGTAGCAGTGAATAGCTGCTTTTAGGTGCTTTCCAGAGGAGGGTAAAATACAGAATCACAGCACTCTTCTCTCGCCGCGTCCCCGGCTGCCTGTAAATTGCTGTGAATGGGGCTGTGGGCTGACAGGCTCTATTAAGACAAACTGCCTTTCTCATCGGAGAGATAAAATAAATCAGGTGTTTAGTCAAATTAAAATACTTCAGCTGGAGCAGGCCCTGGGGAGTACTGATCCACCTTACTAATCCGAGAGAAACTCAAGACAGATGTGGTTTGGGGATAAAGATGACCCCATGGAAGAAAAAAGGGAAGAAAGAAAAAAGAAAGGAAAAAACAGCCTGCAGCTTGCAGCTCTGTCTCTGCAGTTGGAGAATAGATATAGTTTATGGTGGAGTGTGAGCCGCACCCCTGTGTGACATACTTGGGGAAAATCTGTGTGCAGAAGCTTTTTTGCTGGCTCCCTTTTTGTGGTTGATGAAACTACCTCTGGCTTTGTGTGGGAGGCAGAAGAGACTGTTTTCTGGCAGTGCGTTTGAGAGAGTCATTTTAAGATAGTCTAAAGATGTGAAACAGATGGTGTTAGGCTACCCATGACCTCTGCTGGCTCTAGTGCATCCTAACGCTCTGATCTATCTGTCTGTCTGTCTGTCTATCATTTATCTATCACCTATCATTTATCTATCTAAATTAATTTTGTCAAATCTCAAAACATGATTTAGGGTAAGATTTTTCCACATCTCCTTAAGTTAATTGAAGAAGCATCTTACAATATGTTGCCTTCCCTAACATGCCCTGACTGTATTTGGGAGTCCCATATGCCCCATTGGCTGCCTCTTCTTTCCGCCACTTTGGCCATTCTAGTTTCTCTGAAAAAGTTTGGTAATGAAATAACTTGTGTTCTCAGGTTGGTTTGATCACTATGATTCACATTTGATATTATTTTATTACAGCAGGGTAGATAAACACTTCATCAATTAAAAAGAACTATCTATTAATATAGGTTCAAATACTGATCTTTAAAATATTTGTACCAAACTTACACAATGGGTATGGAACGGAAAAGTCACTCCTCCATACACACACCTATGCATTTAGAGAACATAAACTATTGTATTGTTTGAATGCATTATTCTCTGATCTGAACTCAAGAACTAGCTATATGGCTATACATAGGATTTCTCACTATAAAGGAATTTTAGATATTCTATGCTGCTGCATTTCATGAAGCAGCATTTGTTTTGGCTTATAGCTATACAAACATCTGTCTGTCTATTTTCTATTTGTCATCTAGCTATCACCTACACATAACACTTATATCTATTTAGGTATCATTTATCATCTAGCTATCTATCACCTGTCATCTATATCTATCTAGCTATGTATCATTTGTTATCTACCATCTTCTACACCTGTCTATAAATCACCTATCTATCTATAAATCATCTATCTATCTATTCTATCATATATGTATCTGTCTATAATCTACCTTTTCTACCACCTATTTCAATCATCTATGAGTTATCTATTATCTATCAATCTATTCGATAAATTTTACTTAAGTTTAAGGAAAAATGCTATTATATGAGGACCTAAATCCTTACATTACAACTACTGCTGTCTCTTTGTTTTATTTTTTCTTAAGCACCTGGCTAACTCCAATGAAAGAGTTTTTAGGTCACATTTAATGTTTATAATCTGTTTCACTGTCTTCATACTCTGTAAAGTGATTCAGCTAAATGTATTATTCTGTAAACCTAGGTCTTTGTAATGGAGTCACCTAAGCATTTATAGATAACACTATTAGCCCCAACCTTGAACAAGAAGCTATCATTTACATACTATACTCAGTTTCTCTGTTTACCAAGCAGAAGAGAAAGAGAAGGAGGAAGGAAAAATTTCATCTTCACTGAGAAATATAAACATAAATCCAACTTGTGTGCTTTATTAACCAAGAAGAGTGGTAGGACAGCTAGCTGTCCCAGTCTTCAGCAAGTTTCTTAACTCACTTCATATCATCAAGTATAACAAGAAAATTAGTGGATTAAGAATAGGACACAAAGCATAGGCAATAAAGCATGTACATTCTCCATTGATCTCAGAACTTCTGCACATCACAGTCAGAGCAGCTTAAAATGTTAGTAATGTTGCATTATTCTCAGAATGGACAGAAAACTCATCAAATATGGTCTACATGGGATGACTGGAGTGACATTTTCCTGCCTCTTTAGCCTCATCTGGTACCCTTCTTTCCTTTATTTTCCTTGTTCATATTTAATCACCTTTGTTTAATCTCTGAAACACACCGAAGCCCATATACCCCCAGTATACACATGCAGAGCCTGAGCCTATATTGGTTTTGTCCTTCTGGAAATCTCTTGATCACCCACTACTCACAAACCTTCCCTTAGCTGTAGTTTCCTTACCATGACAACATTTCATATTTTCTAGGAAGTTCTTTGGCCAAAAGCCATTCCCACTGTTTCCCTAGTCACTTCATGGTCTTCTTATTAAATTCTTGCTTTTCTAGGATTCCTTGAACTTGAATCCAAACTTGGGTCAATCTCCTTTAAAATAGTTGATTTGCTTGCAATTTGTCTGTAGTAGTTTACATTCATATAGTGATCATTTGATGTAGTACCTGGCACATTATTCCCATCAAAAGATATTTACTGAATTAAAAATGAATGAATTCAGTAAATAAATGACTTTCTTAGCTTTCTTGTATCTTCTCATCCTTACACATAATAATGAAACATAACTGGATCTTTTTGTGCTTTTAAAGATACTTTCTGATCTCCTTTGGCAACTTACATTTATAAGTTTTTGATTTAATATTTCTGGGTTCAGAACTTCTTTTTTTTAAAAAAACCAAATGCAAAAATCCTACTGATGAAACAAAAAATCTTTCTTCTTTAATGATTTCCAAAAGCCATTTCTGACTTGCTGTATAGTTCCAGAATCAGTGCTTGTACTTTCTTGTACCTCACTCCTGTTTTTTAATTTTGATTATAGATACTCTTTCAGATCATTCTTTCAGGGATACAGGGAAGTTTTTTTTTTTTTTAAGGATATGAGTTGGTATTAAAAATGCAAAGGTGTTTCTAACTGGTTTGTCTTCTGCAGACATCTGTCTTACCCTGAAGGAATCACATGCCAACAAAGGTTAGCCAGTATCCTCTGAAGACACCTGGGGGCCACTCAGGAAATAGGGATACACATAATTAAGATTTTTTTTTTTTAGCTTCTTGGGTTGTTCTGGTGCTTTCTTGGCAGGCATAGGTAAGAATTCACAGGGCTGGAATTCTCCCCTTCCACATTCACAAAAATCAGCACTCTTCATCCCCTTTGACAGCTGCTGGCATCTTCCTGAAAAGCTTTCAAAGCATAGGTCTCTTCTTTATAATGAAACCAGTGAGGCTCCAATGCAGTGGCTGCAATCCTTATCTTACGATGCGGTAAAATGCTCTAATTTAGATTCACAAAAGGATTCTGTCCCCTTTACTTAGGAGAGCTGTGCAATTTGTCCATAAAAGACTGTGCAGTGCCATTAATGCATACCATAAGTGCTCAGCATCTTTGCGTTCATTAAACTACACATCCTTATGCATAACCTTCCAGCCTCTGAGCCTATTTTCTTCCTTTGAAGAGTAACAAATGGTAAAAGAGCAAGGGGGCCCCCAAGCAACATTGTTGTCTTTGAGGACTATAGTGGAAACCTTAACTTGATCCCTAGCCCCAAACCAAACCAAACCAAACCACAAAACCGCAAATCTTTCTTACCAAAAGCAGTTTTTATTCTCTTGGGAAAACTTGTTCTATGGCCAAGAGAGTGACATCTTACCTCTGAACTTCAGACAGACCTTTGGCAATAGAAAGCCTTTGAGGACAATGCTTAGGAAACTCCTTAGATTGTGTTTAGTCATCGAGGAGAGGGAAGTTAGAGAATATTAAAATACTAAAAGTTTCTGAACTTTGGTCATAACTACAGAACTTTGTTTTCTTTTCTTAAAGTTTTTTATCAGCACATAAAATTAGTTTTACATAATAGCACAGTTGTTACCACATCTTCATACTGGTATATTGTGCATTTTGATGACACTCACCTCTCACTACACTGTTGTCCCCCTTCCACTCTTGTTGATGTCCTTCCTCTTCTCAACTAGTTCCTCCTACCCCATGTGCTTTCTTGTCTTTTGTTGTGGTTGTTTTGAACTTGTTTTGGTTTGATTATTTTTTGGTAACCCAATGAGTTTAACTAGTAAGTAAACTAGAGTTTACTTGCAGGGACATGGTAAGGGGCCATATACGGGAGCTGGGGCTCCTTATTCATAGCTACACCACTAGAGAAAATATTTCTCCCTCGCACAGCCACCATTAAGTACCTATAGAACCTTCAAATTCTTGGTTTGCTTAAAAGATGGGCATTTCATGAGAAGGAGTAGATGAGTAGATTGTTCCACTTTGGTTTTGGTTTTAAAGGATTCTAGGTGACTACACAGTTCTGGGCCATGAAAAGCACTAACTACATCATAGCACGCATGCGCTCACAGTGGCTAATAGTCACTGTCCCAGACCCTTGTCTAGGAGGTTCTCTTTCTAAACTCTGCGCTTCTTTCTCTGATTCCTTCAGACATTCCTCAAGCTTGTGAGATTTCTTCTCATTTCCCTTTTAGGTACACCTGAGAGCCTAGCAGAGAAGGAACGACAACTCTCCACCATGATTACCCAGCTGATCAGCTTGCGGGAGCAGCTCCTGGCAGCGCACGATGAACAGAAAAAGCTGGCAGCCTCCCAGATCGAGAAACAGCGGCAGCAAATGGACCTTGCTCGCCAACAACAAGAACAGGTGAGGCTTGCAAAAAGAGCCAGGGAACTAGAGATGTGGTGGGATGGGCGCCAAGCTCAGCGAGCAATCACACTGATTGGTCTATTTGTTGTAGACTTTCTTCAGAAAATAAAAATCAGGAAAATTCAAAAGAAGAAAAGGAAAAGAAAGAAGGGAGGAAGGAAGAAGGGAGGAGGGAGACTTCTAGAAATCCAGTATTTAAGAAAACTGAGGGCAAAGAAATGCATCCTAGCTAGTGGGACTACTGGCAGGCAGGAATTTTGGAAGGTGTGCTTTGAATTACTTAGGTATAGTCAGCTAATTCCAATGCTGTCGGTAGATTCTCTCCAGGCCTTACATTCCTCTCCAGAAAGGAAGGGATTATCTTCTAGAAAAACTTGGGTACTTTTCAGCTCATTGGCTCAGTGATTTTTTTTTTAAACTCTGACTTTAAAGTGAGAACCCCTTAGTTCATTCCCCCCAAACAGCCCTGCCTGGCTTATGCTTACTTTCCATGATAATTATTAATATGCTGTCCTTCATCCATGTGAAGGTTGTATTGGTTTGGATGGTGAGTTATAGTTACTTTCTAGAGTGCAGACGAGTCATTGAAAGCAAATTAGTGCATGGCTCCTCAAAGGACTAGACTTGATTGACTCAGAAATGAGAAGGAAGAAAAAAATATCAGAGTGTAAATGTATGTCTTTTAGAAAATGAACCACTTTTACAAATGATTTTCTTGTCTTCCAGAGTGCATTAGTATAACAATGATCCTATAGCATAGTGTCTCACACCCTAGATCAGACCCAAAAATTAATGTGCAGTTTTTAGAAATCTGACATTATTACTGGAATTATCTTTTCAGTTAAATGTATTTTACAGGGATATATAGAGCAGTATATGCTCTGTTGATTTTAATGAGTTGTGACGTCTGGTATTTTATATGCTTGAGTATTTGCCCACATGTAGGAATATGGACTCAGCCCCTAATGGAAAATAACATAAAGGAACACTGTAAAAAATCAGAAGTTAGAATGTCATTTAGCCATCCAGAGATGACACAGTAATTAACTATTGACACTTGTGAATAAGCTAGCACAAATTAATCTTGACACATTTGCAGACGAGTGATATCTTACAGTGAACACTTTGTAATTATATTTCAAAATGAAAATTAAATGACACTTAAAACTAGGTTGTCATGCTCAATGAAGCGAGCATGTAGCTCAACCGATTGGCAAATAAAATTCAGAGTTTGAGCCACATGGTGCTTATGTACCATACTTCACTGTGTCAAAGCCATGTGTGTAGAGTGCATGATGGTAATTGTGCCGTGGTGTTTCCGATGCATTTCTAGGCAGCACTTTATCATTTACGAGGGACCATCAATATTAGATGCTTGGTGGTGTTTCACCAGTTTGCTAAGAGGAAATAAATATTCAGAGGTTCCAGTGTCCACACCTAAAACTGCAAAGTGAGTGGTCCATTTCTGATTTGAGTGGCAACAAGCAGAGCAGCCCATGCTAACCTGATTAAATCCTGTTTCCATGTGAACTGTAAGCCCAGGGAAGGAGCAATTCCAGTTTTCAAACTGGAGTCACTTAGAGGCCCCAGCATTACACTTCCAGTATGAGTCACTTGTCACCAGAAACCATGGCACAGCACCAGGAAATCTCCCACTGTGCTGTGTTGTCATACACTGGATGACATGATTGGGCATCTCCCAGGTTCTAGGTGAAGGGAGGTAACAGGAAGACTTAAGATGTATACAGGTAGAGAATGGAGTCACCATGCTCCTTTTCACTCCCAACATAGCTCATTCTAGAATCCAAGAAATAAGTAGGAGGAGAGACTCTTAATCACAAAGCACAGTGGAATTCAGTCCTCCTGGGTGCTCTTGGGCTCTCTATGTCTCCTTTTTTCACAGTGCATACTCTGAAAGAAACCTAAACTGTTTCCCAAGTGCCCAAGGCTATGGTATGTCTCCTTTTTTCACAGTGCATACTCTGAAAGAAACCTAAACTGTTTTAGTGCCCAAGGCTATGTTGGGCTGTGAGGGTGGGCAGTGGGCAGTGGGCAGGGAGCAGCTGAACGCTGACTCCTGGTCAGTTAGGCAGCAAGCTCCGCCTTCCTTTGCCTTATAAGGGGTAGATGTGGTCTCCTGTCGGGTTTGGATTTGATGGCTAGTATTTCCTTCTATAGACCAGATAACTTCATAAAATGCTGAGTTTGAGTGCTTTGCAAAGAAAGGGACTATAACACCTGTATGCAAATCCTATAGTAGATAACAAGTGCATCGCCATTTTAAAACTGCTTTTTGTAGATCAGAGAATGTCATCCAAAAGCTACAGATTTTTCACTGTTTACTATGTTTTCATGTCTCTCTGATAATATTTGTAAGTGTGCCAGGACCAGATGACAGAAATAGATCTGTGGCACATTAGGAAACCCTTTGCTTGCAGATTTTTACTTTTCACAGCCAGACTAACCTCTTTGCACAAATGTGACAGGGTTTTCCTGTTTTCTTCTGCAAGAATCCAAAGTCCCATAGTTTCCAGCCAGTCTGTGCAGACTGAGGAGCTTGCTCTCAGCTAGAGCACAAGACTGTAGTTTACACTTCCGGATAAAGTAGAGGCACCCCACTGACCCTGATTCTTCTTTCCTCTCTGGCCTGCTGCCTCCATCCAAAGAGTCTTTTACATTGAAGTGCAGTAAAACATTTGGGCAGTAGCAGGAGAGACATGCAAGTAATGGCAAAGGTGCAAGCATTTCATTTTTAACCTAATGGAACTTTATTTCTGATAGATCGCAAGACAACAGCAACAACTTCTCCAGCAGCAGCACAAGATTAATCTCCTGCAGCAACAGATCCAGGTCAGTGTGTTTTATTACCTCACCTGATTACCCAATGTGCTCCTCCTTGAAAATGGAATTTAAGGTGTTGTAAAAGCATGCCTGTCTTATCAACAGTGCTAACATGGCTGTTATTCAAGGACAATGTTGTACACAGTGGTTGTCCAGGGGGACAGGCAGGTGGTGGTCACAGCATCCTCTGGTGTGATATGTGAGCAGAATACACCTACCCACCCTCCTTGACTCTGCCTTCTTCCATTTGCCCTAATGCCATTAAGCTGAAACCTCTTGATTTCCAAGACAGCATGCATAGATGCTGTTTTCACTGTTAAAAGTCACTTTCTGCTTTGTGTTTTATTATGTAGTAGGGCCACAGAGAGAAGATTACTTTTATTTACTCATTAGGACTGGTTGGGTCAATTTGGAGAAGAATCTGGGAAACACCCTTTAATAATTAATTTATTTCTTAGCAAGTACTAACTGCACTGTCTTTGGATGTTAAGGAAAACAGACAGAGCAATGAATAGTGGCCTGTCTTCAAGGAGCTTACAGTCTAGACAACAAGAAAAATGGTTCTGAATAATTGTAACCTATTTTAGAAAAGTCAAGTCATTATTTTTATTTATTTATTTTTCTAACAGTAGTACAAAAATGTGCAGTTTATTATGGGTCTGTAAAGGGAAGGTGTTAGTCTGATTCTCGTTGTTTCTTTATCTTTAGACACTTGATGATTAATTCAACTAACAGCAGTTCCAGATAGGTAGGGAGAATGGCTTCTATTTCTGAATAGAAACCTAAGTGTGTGAATTGTAGAAAGTGCTAAAATAGGCAATGGTTCTCTAGATTAACCCTCAGTCCACCACAGCTGAGCCACTGTCTTCTGAAGTTTCTCAGCGTCTTTACTGAGGTTGATGTCTTTGCCTTCTACTCCCCAAAGCATCAGTAACATACAATTCATGGCTTCCTCTAGTGTTCTACTGTACTGATGAACTCCAGTGATTTTAACTTAGATTTTTGCTTCATTTTGTTAATCATTCTTAGTGTTCTGGGCACCGTGACTACAGTGAAAATTCCAACAGTGTCTGAAGAGGTATCTCTCCTTAATTTAGCTTTTTGTTTTGGCAACTTTGCTTCGAGGATTTAGCTGGAATGTCTTGTCTGGTTTTGTTCTGATTCTGTATTCTGTATTCACATCTATGTTTCAAAATCAGGATAGACTGTCTTTTTCATTTTTGATGGTCAGACTTCACAATTAAATCTGGAAATAATTTCTAATCCTGATATATCTTTCATACCTCATGCTGAGGTCCTTAATCACATAGCTATACAGGTATCCCCTTGTCTGCATTTATTAAAGTTTCCACTGTATTTCCTACTCCTAGGGTTAAGATTTTTTAGTCTGTGGTTTCTTACATATTTCTCTAGCTTTCTCCAAGAACTCAGGGGTGTTAAATAACATGATCAGTTAGTTCCCTCTGTGGACACTCCTATAAGGGTATGTATTTATGTATTTCTAATATAGTCTGCTTTTCATCCAATGTTATTTCTATAAACTGACTGTCTTGATAACATCTTCCTGTGTTACTAAAAACCTCAGATGACTAGCAGTCAGTTCATAGTAGCTTTTTGAAATTGATTACATATGGATTTATCATTATAACATGATGTGTTTTAAGTAAATGTGGAACACAATCTTGAAATATTAATCTGAATATTCACTTTAAGAAGATAGGAATGGGCCTGGGGGATAGATCAGCTGGTAAAATGCTTCGCACACAGCGTGAAAATCCAAGTTTCATTCCTAGAACCCTACTTATAATCCCAGCCCTGGGGCGGGGGCAGAGACATGTGTGTTCCTGGGGTTTGCTGGCTAACCAGATTAGCCTCAGAGGTAAGATCTCCAGGCCAATGAGAGACCCTATCTTAGTAAAATAAGATGGACAGCACAGGAGAAATACCATGCAAGGTTGACTTCTGGCCTCCACAACATGTACATACATGTATATGCACTCTTCCCCATGTATATCCCCCTACCATGCATTGCATGTTTACTCTCTCTCTCTCTCTCTCTCTCTCTCTCTCTCTCTCTCTCTCACACACACACACACACACACACACACACACAAGAGAATAAAAAAGAATATAAGATTTTCTAATAGATTTTTTTAATTATCTAATTTTTGGAACATTTTTCATTGTTTAAATTTTTTAATTTAGCTAATCAGCAATTGAACTCAGAAATCCAAATATAAAACAGCAGAGGCACACAATGTCAATGTTAGGCTCATTTTAGGGATTTAAGTTTCTTTCTAACAAGAATCATGCTTTCCAAAGTAATCGAGCAGCCAGGCTTGTGTTTACTGTTCCTTCTGTCCTGGGCTCCTGCTTCATGACCTATCTTGTCAGCACTTATCTTATCAGTGGGAGACCATTCTAAGAATATTTCAAATGCTGAAAACACTCCTTACACAAAACATATTTATCTCTGACACTTACAAAGCAAGTTCGGATATTCAGCCTTTCAGGTAGTTCTTTGGGAGACTAGATGAGTTAGCTCCGTGTGTCTTGGCTCAGGGAGTATTCCTTTATGTGGAATGGGCTCCCAAAGTCCACACCTATGCTAGGGATAAGTACTGAACTACTACAGGAGGTCCTGTAGATTTCCAAGGTTTCCTCACTGAAAAACATGTTCCTGGAGTCTGGATTAGTCCCATGCTGGTATCCCAGCTTTCAGTTGGGGAGCAAGAGTTCCCCATTGTTCAGGTCAGCTGTTTCTGTGGGTTTCACCAGCCTGGTCTGGACCCCTTTGCTCTTCACTCGTCCTTCTCTGCATTTGGATCCCAGTTCAGTTCAGTGATAACTTGTGGGTGTCTGCTTCTACTTCCACCAGCTGCTGGATGAGGGCTATCAGGTGGCATATAAGTCAGTCATCAATCTCATTATCAGGGGAGGGCATTTAAGGTACCCTCTCCTCTGTTGCTTAGATTGTTAGCTGGTGTCATCTTTGTGGATCATGAGGATTTCCCTAGTGCCTGATTTCTCTGTAAACCAAAAATGTCTCCCTCTATTATGGTAGCTCCATTCTTGTTATCTTCTTTTCTTCGCCTGACTCAACCTTTCTGCTCCCTCATGTCCTCCTCACCCCTTCTCTTCTCCCCTTCTCATTCTCCTAGCTCCCTCCCCCCTCTTCCCGTACTCTTAATTTGATCAGGGGATCTTGACCCTTTCCCCTTCTCCAGGGGACCATGTATGTCTCTCTTAGGGTCCTCCTTGTTTACTAACTTCTCTGGCAGTGTGGATTGTAGGATGGTAATCCTTTACTATATGTCTAAAATTCACATATGAGTGAGTACATACCAGGTTTGTCTTTTTGTGATTGGGTTACCTCGCTCAGAATGGTTTCTTCTATTTCCATCCATTTTCCTGCAAATCTCAAGATTCCATTGCTTGGTTTTTTTTTTTCCCCCCGCTGAGTAGTACTCCGTTGTGTAAATGTACCACATTTTCTCTATCCATTCTTCGGTTGAGAGGCATCTAGTCTGCTTTTAGTTTCTGGCTATTACAAATAGTGCTGCTATGAACATCGTTGAACAGATGTCCTTGTTGTATAAATGTGAGTTACCTGAATTTTTAAAGATAGTTTCTTACCAGCCATAAACATAGTCTAATTTATGAGGAAGATTATAGTTGGGCTAATTTTAATGTACTTTTAGAGGAAAAATATGAGATTAAAAGCAAGTTCAATAATACTTCTTTTTTAATAACACAAAGGAAAACATGTTTCCATCTGAAACATAGCTAACAGGATGATTAAAAATTAAATCTAGCCTCTTAAATTTTTTTTCTTTCTGAGACAGAGGCTTACTGTGTAGATGAGGCTAGCCTGGAACTCAGAGCGATCTGCTGTTTTGCTTCCCTAGCTCTGGGATTAAAGGCTGGTTTAACTATTATTTTTAAGTTACCAATGACTACAAAGACAATTTGAAAAGTTTAACACTTTTAACCCCCCTTCTTGAGTCCTAGAACCTGCTAGCACATATGTTCAGCAAGAACTGGCTTCACAATCAGCTGCAGGTATTAAGTAGCTATATTCAAGACATTATTCTAGTTCAGCATACTGATTTGTTTCCCAATTGGCAAGCTTTAGTAGAAAGGTAAAAAATTTCCAAACTGTCTTAACAACTGCATACAAACACATTTGGACCTATTTTAAGAGCAAAAATGAAAAAATTCAATGATTTGTTCAAAATGAAAGTGATGGTCTTTCATTAGAATTAGGAAAAGACATGATTGAGATGGTATTGTAAAGGTTCCCATGAGAATTTTATTTGTAATCATTCAGAACCTAAATGTGCAGTTAAGATAATTTTTTCTTTATAATTTTTTCTCTGAGCATATATATATATACATATATATACATACACACATATACATATATACATATATATATATACATATATATGCATACGTATATATATATACATAATTATATATATATGTATACGTATATATACATATATATATATATATATATATATATATATATATATATATACACATAATTTTGCTTTGGTGGACCCTAATTATTATACTTTTTAAAAGATTTTCCTAAGACTGTGTAAATAGAGGTGAAAAAATATAATGAATGATTTTGTGAACTTTTGTAAATAGTTTTGATGAGCTAATGTTTACCATTAAAAATCAGAATAATAATTTAAATGATTATTAACACAGTTTAATATTAACAGATGCTGTTTGCCTGGTGAACTCAAATCCCTGTTTGTGATTTGCGGGGATGGCGATTCCTTGAAGTTGTTACATGTTAAGTGAGTCTCCTCAATGGAAGCAAGAAAAGTCAGGCATGATTTATATTTCTGGGACAGCAAGACCATGGAATGTAAAACTAAGAGCTCAGGGAATGTGAATCTTCCTACTTGGCAATGTTGCTTCTTAATGTTATAATTCTAAAAGATAATGGCTTCAGTCATTTCAACCTACCTTCCCTACCATCTGTACTGTAG